TGCTAACCCGTCTCTCTTGTCTTAGCGTATACAGTACACCCAGCCGGCAAAGCTGAGTTACATTCCGTTGCAGCACGAGCCTTGTGGTGGTTGACTTGAAATAGTAGGATGACTCACACACTAAAGTTCAACACTTATTTGAATGCGTATGCGGCTGCGCCCGAAATATTGCATGGCTCAAGGGTACGTCATCTGCCGACGTGAACGTGATCGCTGCTCTGGTGATCTGAAACCCAGGAAGGAGGCCAGACGTAACCTTGGTGTGTAGACCCAGACTTCGTACACCTGCGACTCGTCTTGAGCGCGCCGTTTCTTTGAGGGCTCGCACCTTCGCCGGCAATACCAGGACGCAATCCACGAGGTCTCTGTTTGGATGATGCTAGGCGAAACTTGAGGGACTGCCATTCATGCGTCGCTAGGGAGGGTCGGCAGGAAGGACCTTCAGAACAGGGATACCACCGTATCCTTTTTTCAGCAGTAACAGAAGATAAGACATGTGTTCCAAATTGCTTCAGGTGTATTTTTCTTTAATACAGCAGCGCGGTAAAGTTTCATTTTTAAGGCCACACCTTGAACATGACCAGCTCATTTCACCATGACGTCATGTGGTCAATGTTGACAGGGGCGTCCTTATTGGATAGGAGCGTCATGACGTTTTGATGGAATTAAGGGTGACATAAAATTTATTTAGTGATCGAAGTCTTTTCGCATCCCTCGTCAGACAGACAGGATGTCAGGGAAGGGACTGCGGTCAGTCTTTTCTGGAACGTTTTTTTGAGCCCATTGAAGACTCCTTGTCGTCCGAAACCCCTACCTTCAAGGCAATGCGCCAAGCCTATGGGAAAGTAACCTCGGGATCAAAAACTTCCACTTCAGACTTCAAACTTTATCTCAGTTGGCGTCTCAAACAAATTCGAAAAATGTATTACAGTATCAGTATTTCTGTATTAGTATTTTTTCCCTCCCTACATTGTATTCCTGTTTTGTATTTCCAAAGACATTTTGCCTCTTTTTCAAATGTATTTCCGATGCGTATCGCGATACATTTTTGCAGATATATTTTAGTATCAGTATTTTAGCTACTATTTTAATGTATCCCAGTATTTGTATTTCCAAATACATTTTTGAGTATTTCTGCCCAACCCTGGACGCTACAAACCCCAAAACATCACTCGTACATCGATATCTCAAAAGGATGGCCGTACTTTTGGGAAAGAAGGGCGCGATCAAGCGAGTTCTTTGACGTAACTGTCCTCCGGGAGAATTTGAGAATGAGGAGAAGCGGCCTCGCTTCTCTCCTCCTCGCTTCTGTTCATCAGCTTGACGGGACGAAGCGAGGTCGAGAAAGAATGGGAATCGTGACGTGCCTTGTCTCGTCGGCCTCGTCGGCCGGGTTCAATCGCGCACTTCTTTTCCAAAAAATACGGCGATCCGTTAGATATATCGCCGTATGAGTGATATTTTTTGGTTTTGCAGCTTCCCGCCTATCCGCCCGGCCTTGTTTAGTGAGCTCGAAATTTCGGTTCAGTATCCCTTTAACACTAAAGGCCCATTCGCACTCTTGCGACTGCTTGCGACCTCTTAAACCTGAGTTCCTTAAAACTTCTTAAACCAGAGAACACACTGGCGCCATCTATTGGGAAGCAGTGTAAACTCGGCGGTCCGGCATATTTTTTTTTATTTCTCGCGCAATATCCTTTCTTTTTTGGCTCGAAAAACTTTTGTCAATGTTATAAACGAGCCTTTCTATGGGTATTACGCACATTTGACCTCGGAAATCCCGCAAAACCTTCGCTTTTGTGAAATGCAGTTCTAGGGTCACCGCATAGATGGCGCCACAATGTCAGTGTGTCCCCTCATTCTAGAAACATTTAAGAAGTTGTAATAGATCTCGTCTCTCTCAGTCGTACTCGGTCGCAAGAGTGTGAACGGGCCTTTAGCCTCTGCTGTATGTGAGCGCCTTCTACAGAGGCTAAAAACCGGTTCCAGAGAGCAGAGGCAAAAATAAATTAATGTCCGTGCATGTAATTCTGTACCATCATGACATGTCCCATAACCTAAAAAAAAGAGGCGGCGATATCCGGTGTCTCGCGCGTCTTTACAGCGCCTTGCAAACACAGTAAAGTTGTGCCCTATGATGAAGCCAAAAGCGAGCACACAAGAATGCAAAAAGGAGCACAGCACTCGCTACACGGAATGCGCTTTAGGTGTTATTTATGAAATACCGCTTTCGTGCTGGCGAATGCATGTAAATTGGCGAAACTGGGCGACGTTTCAACATGAGGGCACAAAAACACTTTCTGTCGGTAAAAAAATATATATATATATATCAGGAGGTTATTTGCCAGTGCATTGTAATAAGTGCTGTTACTACTGTGGTTTGTGAAGCTCACGTGTTTTCGCAAAAGCAAAGGAAGTACCGGTAAGGAAACTCGCGGAAGCCTACTTTATTAAAAAGAATGGCCACGACTGGCATAAGCATGCAATCAGTTTCAATATCAGATAAAGAAAAAGCTTTTTTGGATGGTCACGTTTGATCTCCCTTTTATCGTCGGGAGCTGGTTACTGCTATTTATACTGCTGTATCTACGCCAAATAAGCAGTTCGAAGTCTGCGCTTCGTGTGTCGTACTAGTTTCTGCCTCTGTCCTTGTCCTTTGCGCAGTTTATTTCCCCAGGATTGTATCTAAGAAACAGTTTTTGCACGAGAAATTATGGCACAGCGCTGATTTCATGTAGACCTTACGTCAATTATGCTAAACGAAGCCAGGTAATAAAGCCATTGTCCCTTGTGATTTGCTTCTCAGCCTACTGGACTGTTTTTCCAAGTTCCGACTAACTGGCAAAAAAATACAACTGATGATTTTTTTTTTAATTTACGCAAAATATTGATATACTCTCTAGCCAATTTTCTACAGAAATAATGTATCAACTGGCTTTATTTTTAGCTTCACACAAACAACTATTTGCATTTCTACCGGGAACTATGTCGTAGTAATATTAATTCATAACTAAAGACCACATGTTTATATATCAGAATGAAAGGAAGACGTCAATGCACTTTGTAAATGTTTGTTCGAATCCAAAAGTACCAATATCTAATTGAGCTATGTTGAATTTAAATTGGTTAAAAACCAGTTGCGGACGGATAGTGGTATCAGTGTTGTGTAAAACGGAAGGACAAAACAATCAGGGCAAACAACTAGAGCTCTCAGGATCACGTAAATATTTGAGTAGCGCTGTGTAATCAGTCAGACCATTAACAGTTTTAATCTAAAACAATGAAATCACGCATAATTCGTATGTTACATAGAAAATGCAAGCCAATCAGCTTAAATATTCTTTTCTGGTCATAAAACAACTGGAATTGCAGTAAACTACCATAAAAGACACATTTGTTAAGTACTTTGGCGAACCTATGGAGACATCTGACCTTTTATCCAGAAGTAGCTAAGGTAGATATTAAAAAAAAAAAAAGTAAAATACCTGAAAATAGTAAATACCTGAAATTAAAAACACCTTAAAAATCGCAGGTGTGGTTTGGTCACATTCGAACATGTGCTTTCAGTGCACAATAAACTAGATGTCTTGCTACTTTCTAATGTATAAAATGGCGAGCCTGTGTACCGCAAAATTCAACCTACCATGCTCTGGACGTCGCAAAGGAAGCCTTCTGGTATTCGTACCACTTTATTGTTTGGTGGGGTTCCTAATCCCAGACATGTATAGGTACAATTTTTTAAGTTATCTTTTATTTCTTTCTGAAAGGTTAGAACATTAAGCGATCATTAGAAATGAAACTTATTTATGCGGTTTTCGGTAGACATTTTGCATAGTTCAAGATACTTACTTCGTTAACCTTGTACAATTGGTTCTGCGAACCGCAGTTGGCTAGCAGTTGTAATACATAGCTTCTCTTCTGGTCTGCGTTACCCACGAAATCTGGCAATTCGTAGCCTGGAAAGAGTGATCAAACACAAGTTCCTCATACGACTCCATAGAAACTGTTTTGGCCAATTTTTTATAATATTTTTTAATTATCATTAAATATTGAATTTTTTTTAGGAACTGGAAAATATTAATTCAGGCTCAGGCAACCGAAATACGAAAAATTATGCCAAACCGCTAGGCGTTTGTTCTGATCTGTGAGCGTATAACATGACACAATTGATTGTGGCTACTTAATGGGTTAATGAAGCAACAACTTATTTTGTGAAACTCTCCGTGTTGCTAGTTCCCGCACTACATAACTAGAACCAACGACGGCGATAAAGAGGAGGTAGTAACCGAATGACGGCAACCTAAGTATTTCAGAATAGCGCCGACAGTACTCGAAAATATACGAAAAATTTGAAATGAGATCTCTGAAACACTGAACCAACAGGTAAGATACTACTTACTCTAATGGAAATCTCAATTTGAAGTCGAAACAAATTTTGTATTTTCGTCTTCTCGCAGTTAATTAACCGGCCACTTTTACGTCCACTCATACTAAATGGCTCGCGGCTTGCTGTCTTCAGGGTAAGTTACTTTTATCGCCTTCTTAATGCTATTTTTAACCTTTGTAGTTTTAAGACATTACGAAAATTTGGACATCAACAAAACACAATTTCGAAGTGATATAATTATAGTTTATAGTGCAATTTTTATCCTAGTGCGCAATAAAACAACACGCTACAATATCTCAACCAACATTTATACTACTGTGTTTTAATAAAGACTGGATTTTAGTAGTATATAAGTTGACATGCAGTCATCAGTGAGCATGATGTTCCTTGACTCGTACAATTCTCTAACAAGACTTTGTATCCTGCCCTCGTTAAAAAAAAAAGATATATAAATATACGAAGCGATTAAACTTGGGGAACACTGTCGTAGGTATGGTTAGGTGTAACAATCTACTCAAACTCTACATAAAAATGGTCTGATATAAATTGTTTCTAAGCTATACATGGAATCATGATATATATTAATCACTGGAAAAGCTAAGCATCGTTTGCTCACGCATACTTAATCTCACGGATATATTGTAGTTGAAGAATAGCTTTCTTATTTTGACTGCGTACGGATGAGTGTGTCAGTTGTTTCTGGAACTAAAACGTAGTATAATAAAAATGAAATATATGCACCGCTTAATAAACGTTTTATAATATTCAGTAAATTGCGAAATAAATAAAAAAACATGAATAATTAGGAACCACATTTTAACTCACCTATTTTACTGTCTTCTGTTTCTTCTTGTCGAAATGTTCAGTAAAATTATGAAATGAAAAATACATATGCAATTGTTTATTATTTTTGCAGAAGCGGAAAGCGTGACGTCAAGAGCAAAGTAGAATATTGCAACATGGTGGTTTTTGAGAACAAAATAAAGCGTCTGGCCGGGACCATACGCCTTAGAAGTAAGCCACGTGGTTTTAAGTCTTCATTTTGCAACCAAGATTCTGTACGTTCGCTTGTCTAGCTTTGCATCAATCGTGGATAATGTGATAAGCTGGCACGAGCATCGCTCTGGGGGTACCTACAGGGTACAACCCTAAGAACCAGCACAATTGGCACGTCTTGCGAAATTCGGATTTCAAATATACATACCTCAAACTGAGCACGCGAATGTCATTTAGCAGAATGTGTTATGTCTATTTTTTATAGCTCATATCAAAGCCGAGGAAATCTTAGAATATAGTAAATTCCGTCTCCGTACTTTTGCAGTTCGCGATACCGACTTGTTCGTCAGCCGCACACTGATTTGTGAGCCTGCTATTAGGTGGCGCCTTGAAAGCAACGCTTTACTATATAGTCTCACGGCCTGCAGAATAATCGCGATAAATAATAATTTTAACATTGTATTGTTGTTGTTTGCGGTTTTAATGGCGCAAGAGCATCAATGGCCATATATATAAAAGCAATTATTCTGTTTCTTCTTTTCGCATCTCAAGACAGACAAACTCCCTTCGTTCAATAAAACTAGACCTCGAAGAAATCGAATGTTTCTTTTATATTTTCGTTGCTATCTGTTCGCGCATCTCTGCTGGGCGTGTAGCGACGCGCGAACGCAAAACAAACTACACAGTCAAACAAATATTTGTTCTGCTTCAGAATTCATTCTCTTCAACAAAACTAATCCGCTTGTTTCTAAATGCAAAATACAACTGCATCATCGTTTATAAATTTTGTTAGATCTTTATCACGATGTTAATGCTCGTCGCCATGCTTTACTATGGCATCCTCTGCGTTTTTTTTAAAGCCAACTGGTTTACGAGAGTGATCAACTCAAACTGCAGAGAGCTGGAATTTAATGGCGGGCACCTCCCTATAAATTGATTGCACATTCGCATACCTGCTTCGTTGTGTAGCAAGGAGGATGACGAGCAGAGAGACTGAGAAACGCTTGGCGATGTTTGCAGGTGATGCACGCTTTCTCAACCCTCTCGCCGCTTGCATTGCGAACTCGGATATAAACCACGCGACTCCGGTCGAGCAGTTGCAAACACTGTAAAATCTAGGCACACTACGTTTTTGTGTCCAGCACGCCACCGGGTCGCTGACTCGCAAACCAGTGGGCAGACGATGCAGCCAAGCAAATCTAGTCGCAATGAATGGGGCCTCTGAACTGTGGACGGGGCTTAAAGATGGCCGTGATTTCCACCTAAATAGCGTCCTGCGGCGTAAATATAGCGCTATTTGATTTTCGTGTCAAATTTATGTTGTGAAGTACTTGTTCCATCGAGGTACTTAAAAATCAATTTTTGTTTTGTTATTTCAGCGTCTCTTATTAACAACGAAGACGCTACAGAAAAGTAGCGGACGCCATTTGAAGGATTTATATATTTAAACGAAGCCTAGAATATATTGCACTTCATATTTTAAATAATACGTGGGAGAGTATTTGGGCATAAACATTTTATTTAAGATACTGAACAGACTTGCATGCGTTCTCGGATTTTGCGAATATAGGTGCCCAAATATAGTAGGTGTCAATATTCAAGAATATAAAGAATAAATCATTCAGCTTTATAGAATAATTGTTGAGAAGGCACAGGAAGACAAGGTTTTTGGCGGCGCCGGGATTTAAACTCCGGGTTTCTCAATCACCGGTCGGGTATGTTGTGCACCCCGTCGTCTTCCCAACCGGTGATTGGAAGTCCCGGAGTTTGAATCCCGGCGCCGCCGTAGACCTTGTAGTTCGGCAGCTTCGTAGGAATCATTCAATTCGATTAGTACGTTTCATTAATCTATATATTTTTGATTATTTCCTCCTAAAGGACTACGCCTGGGCCCTTGATGGACAAACCTACCAGTTGATCAAATAGGGCTTTAATCGTGACTACATTTTCTAAATGATTTATTGGTTAAATTTCGACAACTAAAAAAGTGAAAATTCAACGGTCTCATCACTACGACGTGGAAGACTACACATGCATGAAGTCAAACTTTAGGTGAAATTTTAAATAAAATAAACTGTAGAGGCGAGATGTGTAATTCCAAACAAGTGGAGAAGGTTATTCGTATCCCAGCCACCTCCAGGCTGTGCAAGTGTCCATTTAGCACAACAAAGACTCTTTTGATAATCACAGGAGTTCACTACTACCGGATACTCTTAACAATTTTTTTTTGCCTCTGCGGTTAGCTAATAATTTGTTAGTGTGGGTGTCTTTTGACTGCTCTCAACTACATATCAAGGTTGATTTAAAATCCGATATTGTACATTGCGCCGCTTATCAGATATTCAGCAAGGGCAAACAATGTTATTTCGACTTTTTAAAAGCTATTATGCAGGATAATCAACGAAATAGATTAATCTATTAATTAATCAAATAAAGGATAAGAAAATTGCGTTAAAATGTTTAATTGACGCCCGTTCACATAATAAACTAGATAAGACGATGAAACTGCCTCGTCAGAGTATGTACCAAGTATAGACTAGCATACACACCTATTGCGAAGTGTTTTATTGCGGTGATGTTACACAAAAAAAAAATTGGTTTCCAATAGCAACTTGTTAGAAATTTTGAGGAGTTGAAATTAATATAATTTGTGACAATTACGACTATTACAATTGGAAACACATTGGTGAGTTATTGGGGTGATTGTTTTTCGGAATTCTATTACATAAAGCTCAGCATAATGCAAATGAGAGTTATAGACCTTGTCCTTATTAATTGGACACTGTTAATGTTTTTTTAATAATAATCATATTACATGCGACAAATACAAAACGCAAACCAGAATGTACGTACTCGTGGTTGCTTCATCGTTTTGTTCTTCGTTTCCTGAACTTCCTATAAAATAAAAAAAAACAGGTTTAAAGTTTTTGCAGAGCAACAACAATTGCAATCGTCGCCCTTGTCAGCTGACCGTTCAAAATATAGGTAGTGTCAGGCTATTTCATATATGGCAAATGAGGAAGGATTTTTATTAGAGAAAAGATAATTCGGGGCATGCTAGGACTTTTAATATATTTTAAACGGTTTTTAATTATTAATATACTATATATGTATTCGTCTGGATAATGCCCCACAGAACCGAGATAAATTGTTCTTTTGCTCTTAAGAAAGTTTAACTAGCCAAATACAACAACAAAAAGTTTGATATTCCTAGTTGTAATAAATTTAAAAAAAAATTCAACAACGTTAATCTAAGCCATTTTTGTTGTCTTCGCAAAGTTAGAAAGCCTAAATATTACTGCTAAGAAAACTGTCAAGCGTAAAAAATAGTAGGCGTGCAAATGGCTGCTGAAGATTAAACTTTACGAATTCTACCTGAGACTGTGCAGTAACAAAAGCTCCAAATACGTTGATTGAGAAAAAAGAAATAGCACAAACAACCGGAAGCATTTTGTGCGTTTACTGCCTAATTCTCAACATGGCGTCGTATCGCGTATCGTGGGACTCGCAGGCTAGACGGCGATGGCGGCGGACGACGGGCGTGGGCACTCTACTTCAGAACTGTCGTTCGCGGTACCGGCGAATTCTGTCTTTCTTCAAAAGAACAATTTTGGACCGATCAAAACAATTAGGATTCATTCCGTACGACACGCTCGACCACCAAGCCGATTTGCACGAAGACGTCGCCGAGTCGTCGCCCCTTCTCGCGGCTGAAGGCGCCGCTCGTCTTATGAACACAAATTGGTAAGAGCTTGAAAAACGCGCAAACGTCAAGCACGATGTGCGTACTTTGAGTTGAATATGCATGCCTACGATTTATTTATTAGGTGAAAATGTGGACATTTCGCGATATTTACATGTCTTTTTTTACAATTATCACTGAAACAAAAGTTGTTGACGAAACGTCAATAACGTACGGTCACCTCGGAAAGTGTCCGCTTTCAGAGGTGCCCGTAAGTGTTCTGCCGGAATTGCAGCCAGCCATTGGTCCCGATCTCGTTGATCTTTCGGGAACTTGTGCAGACTCTGCCGCACAATGACATTTTTGGATGCAAAACCTGTGAGGCAGCTCCCCACGCAACATCTTGCGGGCATTCTTTCCGGAGCCGATCACGGGCATTCATCACTCATTTCATACTCTTCAGTGTACAAAAAAAAAAATACTCATATTGAAGTCCAGAACAGCGAGCGGCACAAACATAACTGCAAAGCAGTCGCACATCAACCCGCGTCGTCTACTGCGCTCGGCCGAAAAAAAAAAAAAAAAAGAAAGAAGAAAAAAAAAAAAAGAGAGAAAACGAAAAAAGCGCGGTTGGGCGTAGCCACGTGATTTCCGGCCCATTCTCTCTTCTACATTTCTCCGACCTCCGTGCGCATGGTTCGGTTTTGGTTTCGAGCAGTTGTGTTTCTTGGCTTTATTAAGAATATACCTGACTCTGTAGCAAGATATTAATTGGGTAGTGTTGTGTTCTGCTTTTATGTTCGCAACACTGTACATACCATAACGTGATCTGGCAACCTATGACTCGCATTAAAAAACGCTTTTTCGTTCAACGTTCGAATGGACTCGTCGACCCTTTCTTCGTGTCCTCAGGACACTAGATAATAGCGACGAGTGAAGACCGTTGAGGAACCCTGCCGTGCCTGCTACTGCCTGCTGCCGGTGAGCGGACGCCATGCTCAGTTGCAGTCCGTCACCACCCCCGTTCCTCGCTACGCCGGGACCAGCCTGCGTGCATGGCGGCAGTGGAAGTTAGCTTTCCTGAACTACTTGGAAGCCGGCGGCGGCGACGACTTCGCGCCCAAACGCAGGAAGACTATTCTGCTAAATGCGCTGGGCCTGGAGGGACAGCGGATCTACAATAGTGTAGCACCAACTACTCCGGCATCGGTCATCAAAGAAAAAGGAAAGGAAGGAGTCACCAAAGGGCATGACGAAAAGAACGTATTCGACGAAGCACTGGCCGTGTTGGACAACCACTTCTCGACTGCGACGAACGAACTGATGGAAAGACATCGTTTTCGTCAGCGCCGTCAAATGCCAGGTGAAGCCTTCGAAGCCTACGCCGCCGCCCTTCCTGAGTTGTCGTCGGACTGCAACTTTGGAGAGGCAGCTGACGAGACTATACGCGATCAGCTCTTGGAGGGGACAGCGTCGCAGCGCGAGCGCCTGCTCTTCGAGGGAACGAGTCTGACACTAAACTGCGCGATCGACCTCGGCAGGCACATCGAGCAGACTCAGCGAGAGCTGAAGGAGTTTGCTGGAGACCCCGTTGTCCAGCGAGTTGTCAACAAGCCGACGAGTGGGAGCACCGGAAAGGCGTCGACTGCGTCGTGCTACCATTGCGGCTCGAGTGCGCACCGCGCGAATGCGAAGGAATGCCTGGCCAGAGACAAGACATGTCGCAACTGCAACAAGCGGGGGCACTTTGCTGCGGTGTGCAAGACGAAGCGGAGGAAATAAGGGCGGCAGGAAAATCACGCCGCGAAAGAATCGTCGGCGGCCACGAACTGGACCCTGACAACTTGAACCTGGACCCTGACAACATGCGAGAGAAAGGGATCTACGACGACATCGACGTTGACAGCGTGACACTACGGTTTCTGGTCGACACCGGCTCGTCTGTTTCACTTCTGAGGGAAGATATCTTCTACAAGCACTTCGCTGGCCGCTCGGTGACTGACGCGACGGTGACGCTGCTGGATTACTCCAAAAAGCGTATAACAGTGAAAGGCTGTTTTTTAGCTGACGTAGCCTACAAACACACACGCACGTGTGTTTTGTTTCATGTTAGCGTGGCAAGTCACTTCTTGAACTGGATGCCAATCAGAACCTGCAGTTGAACATCCATGGCGACACGCTCAGCTGTCTACAAACTGTCGCGCACTCAGCGGAATTGCTGCCAATGAATCTACGCGGTGAATTCTCACATCTTTTTTCGAGCGAGCTTGGCCTGGCCAAGGGCTTCCTTCTTCAAGTCAAGGTGCGTGCATCGGTGAAGCCAGTCGCTGCGAAGCTACGGCCCATTACGTTGCACAAACAGGTGTCTGAAGAGTTGCAACGGTTGGAACGTCTCGACATCATCGAGCGGGTGGATGCAGCGGAATGGACCTCGCCCATTGTCGGGGTTCGGAAGAAGGACGGCACGATCCGATTGTGCGTCGACCTGAGGGAACTGAACAAAGCCATCATCGTGGATGGGTTCCCACTTCCCCATACTGAGGAGCTGCTGCACCAGATGGTGGGTGCTACCCGGTTTTCAAAGCTCGACTTGGCATCTGCGTACCACCAGGTTGAACTGACGCCCGACAGCCGCGAGTTAACAACTTTCGTCACCCACGATGGTCTGTTTAGGTCCAAGCGCGTCTGTTTCGGACTTGCATCAGCGCCGGCAGCCTTCCAAAAGATGATGTCGCTCATCCTGAAAGGATGCAGTGAGGTTCTCTGTTACATCGACGACGTCAATGTGTGGGGGAGGACGACCAGCGAGCACCAAGAAAACCTGAGACGTGTCCTGAGGCGCATTTCCGAGGCTGGACTCGAACTGAATGACAGGGCGTGTTCGACGTGGACCAGCTTTCTTTCCTCGGACACGTGGTGGGCAAGGAGGGCCTCGCTCCTCTGCATTCGAAGGTGGAGGCTACCGTTCAAGCACCAGTACCGAAGGACGTCTCGGCGTTGCGGTCATTTCTGGGACTCGGAGGCTACTACTCCCGTTTTTTCCCACACTATTCTGATGTGGTCGAGCCTCTCAGCAAACTTCTGCGTCAGAGCCAGGCATTCACTTGGGATGACGCATCGCAGAGAAGCTTTGAGAAGATCAAAGAGGTTCTGTCGTCATGTCCCGTCATCAAGATGTTCGACCCTAACCTTCCAGTAGTTGTGACCACCGACGCATCAGACACTGGCCTTGGAGCCGTCCTTCAGCAACAAGCTGGGCAAGAGCTACACACTGTGGCCTTTGCCTCCAGGTCACTGACTTCTACCGAGCGGAGGTACTCTGCTGGGGAAAAGGAGGCGTTGGCGTGTTTGTTTGCTTGTGAATATTGGCATATCTACCTTTGGGGCCGAAGGTTCCCACTTAGAACGGATCACCATGCGCTGGTGACTCTGTTATCGTCCAGAGGTTCCGGCAGGAGGCCACTACGAATTGCAAGGTGGTCAGCGAGACTCCTTTACTACAATTTTGACATCGTCTATCAAAGAGGCAGCGACAATGCTGTCGCAGATGCGCTGTCCCGACTACCTTTGGTGGCAGCAACAGAGCCAGAGATGGAGGAAGAAGTTGTGTCTTTGGTGTCATCTTGCATCACCAAAGATCAAGTGCAAGTCGTAACTGCCAAGGATCCTACCCTAAGGCTAGTGACCAAGTACCTCGAGAAGGGATGGCCAGCAAAGAGGATGCTCACTCAGGAGCTGATGCCTTTCTTCCAGCTTAGGGAAGAATTGTCCATGGTGGATGGCATAGTCTTCAGGGAAGACAAAGTTGTTGTGCCGGAATCGCTAACCTCGGACTTGGTTTCTTTTGCACACGAGGCACACCCTGGCATCGTGAAAACCAAACAAAGACTTCGAGACTAGTTCTGGTGGCTCCGAATGGACAGGCAGGTGGAGTGTGCCGTGCGAAGTTGTCACGTGTGCCAATCAGCCGACAAGTCAGCCAAACCGGTCGTGGCACCACTACGTCCAGTTACTCTCCCGGAAAAGCCCTGGCAGAAGCTGGCTATGGACATCGTGGGTCCGCTGAACCTGACCACCGCTGGTCCTAAGTTTGTCGTCACCCTTGTGGACTACCATTCCAAGTGGCCGGAAGTTTGTCTTGCAAATACAGTTAAGTCACAAGCGGTGATAGGTTTCTTGCGAGGCGTGTTCAGTCGGGAGGGCTATCCGGAAGAACTCGTAACAGACGACGGGCCACAGTTCAAGTCGAAGCTTTTCGAAGACTTCCTGAACCAAAGAGAAATCAAGCACTGTGTCTCGTCGGTATACTACCCGCAGGCCAATGGGTTGGTCGAACGATTCAACAGGAGCCTAAAGAACTTTATTCAAGTTTCAGTTTTGGAAGGACGACCACTTAAAGAAGCCGTCGTGGACTACTTGGGCGTATATCGGTCTACCCCACACTCGACCACAGGAGTGTCTCCTGCTCAGCTCCTCCACGGTCGCCAAACAAAGACCCGACTTGACATCATGAGCCTTCCGTCAAAGAACTTCTTTCAGGAGCCAGCCACGGCAATGGAACAGTTACGAGCTCGTGTCCAAATCAAGCAGCGCTCGACGGAAGAGATGCAAAAAGAAGTGCCAAAACTCCAAAATTCAAGAAGGGTGATTTCGTAAGGGTCCGTAAACACACAAGTGGCGGTAAGGGTGAGCTATCATAATCCCGACCACTGAAAATACAGAAACAGGTGGGTCCAGGCACTTTCCGCTTGGAAAACGGACGCAGCTGGAATGCCGACAAGCTGGTGGCTGTGCCTGAGGAGTGCGTCACGGAAAGAGGTAAACGGTTGCTACACTTGCTACCCGTTCCTGGAGATCAAGAACAGTCATCCAGGAGAACCGTCTCGGACAGCCAAGGCGAATATTCCGTTGGGGATAATTGCGAAGCTTTGACAACACCATGTCAAGTTTCTGGAGGCGCAGACTCGGTTGAGGAACATCGCCTAGCAGCTTCGGCGGCGCCAATAAAAATTACGATTGGACCAGATTCCGTTGAAGAACAACGTCAGGAAGTTTTGACGTCGCCGGTACCAGTGTCACAAGATGAATGTCCTGTTGTTGGACTTCGACTGGAAGATTCTGCGGCACCTGCACAGGCTCAAGGAACGACGTGGTCGGACGGACCTCGCAGAGGACCGTCGACAAGAGAACGACGGCGTCCCTCCCGTCTGCAGGACTTTCATATAAATTAGCCATTTTTTGCTTAGTTGTTTCGTTTTTCAGGGGGGATGATGTTGTGTTCTGCTTTTATGTTGGCAACACTGTACATACTACAACGTGATCTGGCAACCTATGACTCGCATTAAAAAACGCTTTTTCGTTCAACGTTCGAATGGACTAGTCGACCCTTTCTTCGTGTCCTCAGGACACTACAGGTAGTCCTCTGGCACTATACTAAATCGCGTGGCAAAAAATTTGTTTTAAGGGGTGTCAGTGTCTCTTTAAGCGTAGTTACGTGTCGGTGTGCTGGGCCCCTCGCTACGGGCCTTTGGCCTTTCCAGCATACCCTAGCTCTCCTTAGTTGAAATAAAGTATTGTTATTGTTATTTAGTTCGAATTTCAGGTTGAACGAGTGATCTCTATTGTAGTAGCCTGAATCGCGGATTGGGAACCCATCGGATGCACCGCCGGTGGCCATTGCTTGACACCAGGCAATACACGCAAGTTTACGGGCGAAATTCGCAAAGGTACGAATATTGAAGCTTTCACGCTATACTTTAACGCGAGCATTTTACGATGTGCTGCGATCATTATATCGGGTATTTGGAGATCGAATCGGCATTTGTCAAGTGTTCGAACGCCGATACAAAAATCAAATGTGCCGGAGCACCACCGACATGCCGACGTCGCTTGCTTCAGTTGCTAAATAAATAACTAGTTCAAAAAATCAACGACACGCTTCAAGTTTTAAGTACAAAACGAGCGTGTTGGTAACAGTAATGAAGCACTAGGAAGATACATAAGTCCTTGTTGTCCCTCCCCCTCTATGTATCTTCCTCATGCTTAATTTAAAGTTTTAGTTCGTCATAGAAGCCCTCATGGCAGTTCAATACAAAGGCTTGTACCTGACCTGTTCTGCTCAAGCGCTTGAAACGATGCGAATGTCCCCAGTAAGTGCCTTCGAACTTATCGTCTGCTAAGCTCTGATGACTTCGACTCCGCATTGACACTCGGCAACCCTTGTCTTCCTCAACCACAGCGCAATGTACGCTCAACAAAGTCGCAATCCTGACCCTCAAACACACACACACAAAAAAAAACAGCGTCATTGGACTGCTTTTGTTATTTCCGCCCAGAAAATTAAATGTTATTTCCAGAAACACGATAAGAGTTTATAGACGAAAAAACCCCACTAAAGTAAGATGCCGCAGTTCTTTCCGTTCCTTCCATGGAGCCTCATGCATTACCTGGTGTCAAGCAATGGCTCCCAGTGGTGCCGCTCGAACCCAGCAAGACAAGCATCAATCCGCGGTTCAGCCTACTACTATAGAAATCAGTAAGTTGAACAGGGTGACGACATTACACGCAGGTGCGAGGGAATGCAGAAAGGATCATTGTGAAAACAAATCAGTTGGTTGCGTGAACGATGTCTCGTACGAAATACCTTAGCTTGTGGGTTTAAATATGTAAGTCAGACGTAAACGTGCATTGGCGATAAATTAAATGAGCATCAAAGGAATGTGAAGATCAATGTATCGAACTCTGAAATAGCAAAATACGCTCACGAGTGTAACAACTGTATAGCCACTTGGTCAGAGAGGGAAGTTATACACAAGGGGAGTGATGACATCAACAGGCGAGTAAGAGAGACTATAGAGACAAAATATATAGGTGACTGCATTAGTCAGGCTTCCTGTCAGTCTGTTAACGATATTGTTTTACTATATGGAATACCTCGGCGTTAGTAAATCGCTAAGGTTAGAGTATGCGAAATGACGCTTTGTGAGAGTTGTGTATGATCGGCACATCAGAGAGGAGTTGTTTTTTGATTATCCGCTTGGTAACAGCCACTGTGGGTTTTTTGCTTCTTTCGGAGAGGCTTTTAATTTGCGATGTGGATCTCGTCTATAAAGTGCTCAATTCTGCTTGTAACTTTTAGAGCGCAGCTCTTAGGCGCTCGTTTCCGGCTTGAGCGGCGTCGGCATAACCGCGAGGTCACGTGACCCCCCCAAGGTCACCCCAAGGTCACGTGACCCACCAAGGTCACCCCGAGGTCACGTGACCCCCAGAGGTCACGTGACTCCCGACGCCACGTAACCCCGCCCCCGGAGGTCACGTGACCCCCTCCCCGAGGTCACGTGACCCCCCCCCCCCCCCGAGGTCAGGTGACCCCCCCGGAGCATATTCAAGAATGAAGGGAGGAGGAGGAGAAGGAGGAGGAGGAGGAGGAGGAGGAGGAGGAGGAGGAGGGGTCTACCCTCCCCTCAGTACCCTTCCCTCGTCCTCCTCAAGAGCTGCGCCCCAATTCGGCGTTACAGGGCTTTCACTTTTTTTTCCTGCTTGAAAGTAAAATCTCAATCCATGTATCCCGACAACAAAGAATGACCAAAGCGCCTTTTTTACCCTCTATCTGACCCTTCATTGACATGCATGCAGCTTCTGTATGACAATATGAGTGTATTACGAATGATTACTTTTAGTTTTGTCTTTCACCTCTCGTACATATGTGAGATGAAGGACTAAGGCCTGCCAGCTGTTCAGGGGAACAATAAACATGAAATGATTGATTGATTCTTAACCATACTATTATCTATACATCATGTTGAGAGGAAGGAAGAGATAAGGTCAGCACTACAAATGAGAAAATTACATGTTTACATTAGTACTCTCAATAAAGGACCTCCTTTCACGAGAAACGAAAGACGTAACATACTAGTATACACTTACACAGCGTATTTATAGCGCAAGTGTTTTAACACTGCTCTTTTATCTATAGAAATCGAGTGTAATTAGCGCACTCAAACGAAAATTGGGATGAACATAGCCTCTCAATAAACGAAGGTACTTGAAAGCTTTTCTTGTGCTTAATTTTTACAACAAAGCAGAATAAACCTATGAGGCGCGCAATTAAAAAAAGTACTGGACACTGATATTGGCGCCAAATTATTGTTGTTGTTTGAAGTATCTCAAAACTAAACTAACTTGACTTTCAGGGGAATGCCGAATAAATAAAAGGCCCCCTTTTAAAGTTACATTGCAGAACTCAATGAGAGATCGACTTTAGGAAAGTAAATATTCAATTTAAAATACCTGCTGAATAGAGATATAAAGTTCTAAAAGTATGAAAATATTTATTTTTGTAGACGAAAGGAGGTGTCTTAAATAATTCATAACCCACTTAAACTAAATGAAACACCAGACAGTACTCACCATCAGATGTTGGATCTTTTGGTTCGCTTCCTTCTTGATTAAAAAGAAAATGAACGAACTCAATTAATTTTAAAACCATTATGCTGCCAAGAGTTACAAGGTCACTTGTAGCAATATCACGCTTTGTAATAGCTGGTTTGTTTGTAAAAGTAAGTACACCCTTTATTACCGAGATCAACGTACAGCGCCGAGCAAACTAGTATTGCCGCGCTTTGGTCTATCCCTCAAGGTGTGTTTTCCAATAGGAGCTACAGCCCCCGCATTTATTTTAATAGCATCCCCTTTCACCATCTCGTAGTACGCTCCTGTTAATTGCTGTGCTCTGTATAGACACTAGGCACGTGGGGAAGCAAAACGTTTGCTTCAGACAACCACACAAATACGGACTACAATCTGCGAATAATGTTGCGCCGAGGACCCACGCACTGGAAATATCTTATCAGCCTTAACTCGGCATTTTAGAGGCACTTTACATACCAAGCTTATTGTTCAAGAAACTCTGCTGTCCTTGCACACCGGTATTCCCTCAAATTGTTCCAGCTGTCATTGCACCTATCCTATTGCCAAACGTTCTGCTGTTTGTTACTTGCTTGATTTCTTGACGTAGAAAATTTAAGGTTTAGACATTTACCCATGTTGTATAAACTATTCTGAATAGAAAAATAAAGTTTTGGAAACATATTTAAGTGAAAATTAATAATATTGAAGAGCTGGTCGTTGGTTCGAAACAGCAGTTTACCATTGGCGTGTTTAAAAAAAGAGAGCGAGAAAAAAAAAAAAAAAAAAGACGCAACAGTTTCTTGCTGATGACCCAAAGCCTTCGAAAAGGAAACTCTGATGCCGCGGAAAAGCTCACGGCCTCTTTAAGAGAAGCACTGGTGAAATTGATTTAATTACAGATTTGCATAAAAATTTAGTAATCCCATTACTTTAGTTCGTTTCAGCATAAGTGCAGACGCAGCCGAAGCTAAGATCTAGTAGAACCAATCAAGCAGCGCCAAAAGCGCACGTTACTAAGCCCTTTCCGTTTATTATTACTTCAGCAATCATAGAACTCGTACAGAAACATGAGCACCATGATGGTACGTTTTTGACGCGGTCTGATTCATCTCATCAGCTTGTAGCGTCGGCTGCATCTGAACTGAAGGTGAATCGTAGACACATATATATTAGTACCCCAAATTGCAAGTCACGAAGGTTTTTTTAATAAAGTTATTGAAAGTTAATATTTGGGCTGAGAGGCTTTACTGGAAACACTAAAAACACAGCATCAGATATTAGGGGGGGCATTTCAGATTGTTCCCGGAGGGTTACAAGAGCTTTGATGGTGTGAAATGAATGCTGATTAAGCTTACACCAGAAAAAAAAAATGTGCAAAATATTTTGTATTTTAGACTACTTGCCCGACTTGCAAGTTATACAACATATAACGTCATTCCACTGGAAAGCCCGAAAAAAATTGAATGCTGGTATTGACATCACCCTTATGTTCCGTTTTATCAATAGCTATCTTGAATTCAGAGGTAATTACTATCATGCATTAGAGAGTTAAGAAAGCCTAGGTATTCTAAATATGTTTGGTAAGAGTAGCTCAAAATACCGACAGAGCTCTCCTTTAACCTCTTTTCACATTAACATAAATTTAACTTCGTATTCAATATCCACATTGCGTTGTCATTGAAAAGCGTGAACTGTGCCCTTTGGGTCGTCATAATCGTGACACATAAAACAAGGCGGCCTAAAATTTAGAACTTGTCTGAAGCTTGACATTGCCCCTCCCTCTGACATGTGGGGCGGAAGATTTTTTTTTTTTTTTTAAGGGAGGTTTGTGGTTTGTATACTTTATGTAAAACCATATTATACTGCTGTCAGACGGGTACGGTAAAGGCTTTCAAAACGAACTTTTTTAAATGGTCGGCGAACAAGCGCACGCCGATAACCGCATGGCCGCGAGCTAAATTGCCGATATTTTTATGGAGTTTGTTGTGAAGACCTTTAATGTGCCCGTCTGGCAGGGGTTTTAGGCTCCGACATGGAACTGAAACAATAAAACCGATGTGTAAAGCATAAGTACAAGTCGCCAGATTTAGCGCAGATTCCACTGAAACTTATTTTTATCAGCGAATATTGTAATTTTTATTATTATTATTCATGGAAAAACATCTAACCAATAGAGTCAGTCAGTTGAAACGGAGGATTGCCTTCCCCTTTTACCAGATATCTCAACACTATAAATATGTCGGAGATGTCTGGAAGGCTGTCGCCAACCCTGAGACATTCAGATGAACTGAAGAATGTCGGAAGTTTGGAAATTGGTCAACAAACGGCGAAGGTATGTGTTTAAAAGGGCAATGGGAACCTCTCAAACTTACTCCACCTAAGTCGGGTGAAGTAAGTTTGATGGGCGTGCGACCCAGCATTCCCGTTTACCTATACAAACGATGATCTATCACCTCCGTTTTAAATCTTAATCATATGAGGTTCATAGGCTTACTCGCATGTCGAGACCTAGGATGTCTTCAGATCTAAATTAACCGAGTTTAATTTCAAGAAAGATGAAACCAATTGTCAAGACTGAATCATTACGAGTTCGAGGAGCTGACATTAGGCAATATTAGCGGCTTCTTTGCTATATCTGGCAAATTTCATTTCCGTTTTATATTTTTGGTATATCCGTTCCACAGATCTAGCCTGGGTTATGGCCTAACATGTTTTCCTATCAAAAAGCAATGAGTAAACCTTTATAGATACGCCAATTAATAGAATCATTCCTTCTCAAGGTGCTTGTGACTCTGGGAGGATTGATTTAGAGAAATCGATAACCTCAGAGTCACGAAAAGTCAAAATAGACTTTTGAAAATCCGCAGCTTATTAGAAATAGGTTGACACCGCACTAAAACTAAATAAAATAATTGGACGGTACTCACCAGCTTTTTCTTCCTTTGGACTGCTCTCTGCAAGATAAAAAAGTGTAATTTTAATTACAGCGCAAAAAGATAATTGCAGCGTTCCCAAGTGTTTTAGTCTTACAATCGTATGGCTGGCCGACATGTCGCGCCACCGGATTTGCTGATAGCCTAGTGTAATGTGACCACCGAATATCCGCGCTATATGTAAACACCATCTGAGGTGCCCACGTGGCACCTCAGTTGATGTTTGAAACGGAACCAACCGGTGTCAGGTCACCGTTCCTTGCCACCGCCGAACGTTGGCCGTTTTAAATCATCCTGCGAACCACACTTGTAACAGTGGCGACGAGAGAAAGGATTTTATTAAAGCTTCAAGGTTCGTCGTGTTCTTCGCGTGTAACAAGTTCGCGAATTGTTTAATGTGAGAACATTAACTGGGGTACCATAGAGCTAAGCCAGCGTTGCCGTTAGCCGTTTTCTGTAGCAGTTGTCTGTAGCAGCAAAAACGGCACCTGAATTCCCATTGGCCAACAAGCACAGCAAGACAGATGCTTCGTCACGGAAGCTGGCGGAGCTCAAAGACAAAGCGGACGCGCCTCAGAAATAAAACACAAAGAAAAGCACAGCAAGGTAGATGCATCATCACGAAAGCCGTGGAGCCGGCGGGTCGCCGCGCCTGCTCAGTGGGGGAGCGTGATGTCCCTGGTGGAGCGCCTCCACCAGGGACATCACAGGGGTGTTTCACACCCCTGTGATGTCCCTGGACATCAGGGGTGTGAAAAAGGAAGACGAGGAGCGCTGCTTGTAGGAATGCGTTGCGTGCAGGAATGCTTCCGGGTTCCTGCACGTAAGCAGTCTTAAGCTTCTTTGTTTAATATTTTGCCCTTGCTCATTGAACTTCCTGTCAAACCATGGGAAGAGGGAGAGAAGGGGGTTTCTTTGAGAGGCGCCGAGACGACGCCGAGTGTGTCTCACGTTGCCGTTAGCTGCCATGTCCTAACAGTAGTTTGTGGTCTTAACCTCTAATTTGTGTTATTACTACTTAAACATGTAACAACTATTTAAGCCGAACCGAACTTCGATCTCATTTCTATGCCCTCCTCCAAACTTCTGCGCTACCGTCCCAATGGGTCCACCGACTGCTAAGATGGCTGTAACCGCTGTAGCATGGGAGCTGTACGAAATGTTCGAGGCCTTTCTGAAGGTAAGTTAACATTCCGTTCGCAATTTTGAGGCTTCATATATATCTGAAATTTAGTTCATCGTGAGTTTGATCAAAAGTTCCTGCCAAAAAAATAAAAAAAAAAAAATTAAAAAAAGGACAGCGCTTTCCTGAGCTGGAGAAAGTTTCGTGCTCAAAACCGTGGTTGCCGACAGTCAGAGTAACGTTCGCAGCGTCGAGGATTGCGAACCTAACTTGTGTTCTTTCGCTGACACTTTAATAAAACTTTTCGTTCGCAGGCTCCCGTCTATCACCTCACTTTAGAAGCTCTTATTTTCGTCTGGGTGCTGTGGCTGTTGCTTAGAAAAAGTGCGCAGCTCGACTCGCACGCCTCAAAGATGCCAACAAAAGTTAGTACATGAACTATCTCTTTTTTTTTTCTCAAAAAGTGGCGACTTTTAGATCCTTTGAGAAATTTTTGTGAGCCATTTTTGCTCGTAATGCCCACCTTCGGTAGAATTGAGCCTTTCAGAAGGAAAAAAGAGTAGTGGCTGTCCTACGTCGACCGCCTGGAAGCTTTTTTTTTTTTTTCGGCGAACGATGTCGTTGCGGCCAAGAAGCAAGCCATTTTATTATTTAAGATAGCAATGCAGGCGAGTTAGTTTTTGACTTAATAAATAAATAGCAGCGCGAAAAACAAAACAGGGACAAAAAGAAAAGCACACAGGACCAGCGCAGAACTATCAGCTAAGCATTTATTGAAAAAAAAGAAAAGAAAAAACGGCTCAAGCAAGAAAATATTTTAAAAGGAGACAACACCGTACAACGATGACGTGTCACATACCCGGCATCGGTAAGATGTATATCTCTTGTACGTAAGTAAATTGAAATCTGGCTTACGCAGAGCCTCGCGGCCTGCTTTTTTCATTGCATGTGCCTCCAGCACCGCTCTTTCCACTTTTGCACGCCCCCTGCCAATCATTAAGGTACCTTCGAAGATGGGGTGACTCAGGCAGTCTCTGCAGTGCGCACAGTACAAGTGACCCAGTGAAAATAAATACTGACACGTCCTGTCTCCAGGCAGCACTGCACATGTCTTGCTATCATAGTGTCGCGGGCGCAGCTGGCCAAGTAGGCAGCGCGACCGTGGCCTTGCGGTTATGCTTGACTCCCACCAGAGAGCCGAGGTTCGATTCGTGACTGCGGAGGTGTGTACCTTTTTGTTTCTGTAAATGTCTCGTTCTGGCAAATTTGAGAACCTGTTGCTTATTCGAGGTTAGAATGTTCTACGCGCCGAAGGGTCCTTGCCGATTGTTCCAGAAGCCCACACGCGTACATAAGGGGCTCCGCGTGGCGAGCCGGTGTCAGTTTTACCCAGGGTGTAAGATAGACAGGTGGATAAACGGCCCATAGAAGCCTACCGCAACGCCGTGACCGGATTGTGTACTCGTCTGCTTGCGGGTACCCCCGATTTGCGACAGATGGCGCTGCGGCGAGAAGAAAAAAAAAATTGGAATCGAATTTGCGTGGAACTCTATGGGAGAGTGTGCAAAATAAACCGAGA